CGATAGAATTATCCATGGCTCTCCATTTTGGATCAATTGTAGCTTCCAAATATTCTTCAAAGGTAGCTCACATGTAGAGCTTATTGCACTAATCCAGACGAGAGATGACCAGGGCATGAGTGACTGAGTGCAAGGCCTTACAATCCAGAAAAGGGCACAGCTGACACACAGACAAATATTGCACTAATATATCAGCAGGATCTGTTTTGCTATAACTGTAGTATCACATAATTTATTGCAGTTTTCCTGAAGTAAGTGGATGTAGTAAAGATTTCAACACTCATAGAAAGAATTTTAAAATAATCTCAATAAATGATTTCTGAATCCTTAGTGAAGAGTCTATAGCAGGGGTCCCCAACCCCCGGTCCATGGACCGGTACTGGGCCGTGGCAGGCCAGCAAACGGGCCGTACAAACAAGCAAAGCCCCATCCGTAGGATGCAGGCAGAACACAAAACCACACCCCCTCTGGTCCGTGAAAAAATCTCTCTCCATGGAACTGGTCCCTGGTGCCCAAAAGGTTGAGGACCTCTGGTCTATAGGGCCCACTGACACTTTAGTTGGGGCTTTCTGCACCACCTATTATTTTAGTGACATCCTTATAATGATAAAAAATGGAAAGCTACCATGCTGAAGACAAAACCCTACCCTTAAATATCAAATGTTTCTGGATTTTACTTAGCCTATAGAGGCATTCTTATATATTAAATAGTTGGGTGGGCTGCAGGCCACAAACAAAAAACAAACAAACAAACAAAAAAGACAGATAAATGTGGCGGCTAAGAGACCAATCTGGGATGGTAGACCAACCACTAGACCAAAGTAGCTTTCTTGTTATTTTCAGGTTTATATAATCACCTTCCCATATAATTTATTTGATAAAGTCTTGGCACTTAATTTCATATATGTTTAACAATATTTTTTTAAAATTTGAAGTAATTTGCATATTTATCTCCACGCTAAAATTTTGTAGAAGGATGCAGTGACTGTTTTTTTTAATGTACATTCACAGGCCACCCATGGTAATTCTGGACAGATTTATTTGTTTGGATTTAGTATTTTAAAAATCAGTCTCATTTCTTCCCCTGTTGTTTACTTCTGGGAATTTAACATCTTGAAAAATCTCTATTCATATATGCTATCTAATGCTGATAAATGGACTTTTAGCCTCTTTAGTAATAACATTGAACTAGGGTTTTCTAATCAGGAAGAGACAAATGTGCTGAATCAACCAAGATCTAAATCATGGCAATTCTTTATAGCCAAAGCTTCTCTATTATTCCATTGGGGAGGTTAAGAATAAACACAAGATGTTTTCTAGCAGTTGATCTTGCTATGGATACAGATGCTTCTTATGTTAGAGACTTAGAGCTTTTCCTTTTAATCACTTTGATTGCTCTAGTTCTTGAGAGGTGGGTTGGTAGAGAAATGTCATATAAAAACAGACATTGGAATTAAAATTATTCCCCCTTAAGAGTTAAATTTGATGATAAAATAAAAAGTCTTATTTGGAATAAAAAATATATTGTTGTCATCTAGAACTTGAGATGTATTAATGTTTTAATAGTTCAATTGTTCTGAATTTATTAAAATCCTACCAAATTTAAATACATGCTTAGCTCTAGTTTCCCTTGAAATCTGGAGAAGATTACACTTCTAAGAAAGAAAGAATAATATAAAAGTTACTTACTTAGTTACAGGATTTACGTGACTGCCAAATTCACAAAAATGCAACTCTGAATGGTTTATAGCAATAAAAACAGATAAAACGTATAAGAACAACCAAAAAAGCCACAACAATGGAACAGTTACAATGCCTCATCATCACACCTCACAGGATAAACTTATTATCAATATCCAACACCCAAAGTATGTTTCATGCCTCTTTAAAAGAAGTGCATTTTGCTTTTTCGAAACATAGTCCATATATTTTCTTGGATTAGGCAGATGAGAGTAGATCTCAACAATAGTATTTTTATTTGCTCTCCACTTATTTTATCTCAGATGTTCTTTGCAAAATTGCCAAATTAATTCACTTGGATTCTTGAGTAGTGATGGACAATTTAACATTAGTGTAACAGCTCTCTTCCTGTTGTTTCTGTATGTTTTGAACAAATTATATCTTCCAGTTCCTATATTCCAGTTTAGAAGAGTCATCCCAGCAAGTCTGTTTTATGTTCTTTAAGTGGGGGGTCCCCAACCTTTTGGGCACCAGGGACCAGTTCCACAAAGAGAGGATTTTCCGTGGACCAGAGCAGGCATGGTATTGTGTGGTGTTTGCATCCCACGGACAGGGCTTTGTTTGTTTGTGCGGACTGGTTGCTGGCATGCCATGGACCGGTACTTGTCCACGGACTGGGGGTTGGGGATCCCTGCTTTAAGTCATATTGTCCTTATGAATATTTTTCAGTCATGAAGGAGATGTAACATTTTCAAGGGCAATCTTAACATTAACTAGAGTATTACAAAATATTTTGTTACAACTGTTCTGAGAAAAATGGATAATATTTTGCTTACCCAGCATAAGACAGAACTTTAATGATTATGTGTATTTAGATGCAGATATGTTGAATCATGCCCTGGCTAATACATAAGAGGCTTCAGGTTTGTAAATTCACAGATATCAAAATTCCCATGGTGGTTGTTTGGTATGCTGAAAGAAAACAAGTTATAATGAGCTCACAAGGGATGACCGTGAGATGAGAGTAGTATGCTTTTTTATTCTTGTATGCTTTTCTCTGAAGAACATGAGTTCTGGATATGATTTTGGTATTTTTACTGGGCGTCATGTTCTCTTTCTGTCAAAGTGTGTTTTATGGTGCTAGAGCAAAATTGTTTGAATATAACTTGGTAACTTTTAAATGTAAATTGGGTTTTTTTTTAAAAAACAACAGATCTTTGCTTATTTGAAAATAAGGCCCACCAGGTGATTAGACATAAATAAAGTCAAGTCTTCATTTTAAACTTAAGTCCTAGTGACCTAATGGATAAGTCCCTGCTTTTTTCTTGGTATTAATATGGAAATGGTTTCCCATTACCTTCTACTACCAGGATGTGTTTGATTTCCCACATAGCTCTTGCATCTTAAAGAATAAGTACGGTACTTTTTCTTGACAGAAAAATAATAACAGTGCCACCTTCTGGACACCTCTTTGTTACAGAAATGAACTTGATGCAATAATTGAGAACTTTTGGCTCTAGTAACCAGCTAGAAGAATAAATATTAAATATGCTTACTGCTTACCTTTTAGATGAATGTTATGCTACAGTAGGCATTCTTCCATTTCATTTATTTCAGTAAATTTAAATAATATATTTTGCTTAATAGAGTTTCTAATGCTGGTATCATGATGATCTGCTAAGTTGATATACACAGATTCGGTTATGCAATATTGAAAGCCTCCCTTCCTCACTCTCCCTATGCTTCTATAAATGTACCTATTGATAAACAAAATAATGAATGGTTTTTGTAATCTCTTGGCATTAGTTACAGGATAGTTGCAATCCTGTGTGGACTTTATGGGAAATAAACATAACTTAATACTGTGAGATTTGTTTTTGACTTAATATGCTCTGTACTGTTTAACATTGTGATCTTATATTTAAGTATGTTTAAAAATAGGTTTGTGACCTAGAACATTTTGTGGTCTCTTAGAATTAAGTGAATTATTATTCATGTAATGCTTTTTAGCGCTCTGCAATTAGCACCAAGTTGTTTTTAGATAGAGAGATTAAATGATAAAATCAGTAGCTTAATTTGTATAAAGGTCCTTATATTTACTGCTAAGAGACATTATTTTTTGTTTCTTCAAAGATAATATATTGAATAATGCAGTGGGTCTTTGAATTTTTAACTGTACTATTTAAAATTTTAAATATTATTTCCTTACATGTACATAAGTTCTTACTAGGTTAAACTTAAAATCATTTTTATGCTTTTGGGACATTTTTGTTAATGGTAAAAATATTTGTAAAACTACATGGCAGGTTTTCAAAAGTCATAAAAATGAGGAAATCTTTTTTTTAAATGTGATCTCTATGCTTTCATGGAGTATCTTTGGAATGGTTGAAGTTGTTTTTCAACTTACTTTTGCATTTAAAGTTGATAGCCTAAGAGGTTTTTAGCAAGAATTAACAAAATAACAGAGTTGGAAAAGGGACCTTGGAGGTCTTCCAGTCCAACCTCCAGTCCAAGCAGGAGACCCTGTACTATTCTGGACAAATAGCTTAAAAATCTCCAACAATGGTGCACCCACAACTTCTGGAGACAAGCCATTCCACAGATTAATTGCTCTTACACTCAAGAAACTTCTTCCTAGCTCTAGGTTGGATAAGTTTCCATCTGTTACTTCTTGTTCCGTGCTGTATTTTTCTCTGATGTCCACTTTGAAAAATCCAGGAATTAAAGGGAAACTATTATTTAAGCAATATTTTTGTTTTCTTTGTAAGAGTTGCTTTAGAAGGACTACAGTCAGTAATTTTATTTTAAATAGTATGTGAATGTCTGTGTGCATGCATTAGATGATAATGGGGAAAAAATTAAATGGAAACCCTAGGCTACAATGCTTTTTAGCTCGTTATCGGTATTGTGAGATAGAGAAGAAAAGTAGAAAAGGGTGATGCATCTCCTTTTGCCCTGTGCGATAAGAAACTTGGCTGAAAGCAAACATGAACGCTGAAAGAAGTGTGAGTAACGCTTTTCCTCCCCCTCCCCTCTTTCTGCTGACGTTCTCCCTGCTTTGCAAGAGACACACCTAGTACTTCTCTGCTGATGCTCATTGGCTGAATGCTACGTGGGGCGTGGTATGCAGACTCTTGCATGACCTCACTCCTGTTTGTCTCAGTGCTCAGATCCGGTTGTCTGTTTTCAGTTTCAGCTTTTGTGCCGAGAGTTTCACTTCTGCTTCTTTTCTGGCTGCAACGAAAGAATCTTTTACCTTTGGTGTTCCAGACAAAATAGAATAAAGACACAGGGATTTTTTTTCTCTTTTTTCTTTCTAGAGACTTACTAACCTGGAAAAAATACTTTCTGGAGGAACAGTTCTGTGAGACTTGCCTTCACCACCGTCCCATTGGTCTGTCTAATGTCCTACAAGGATGAGTCCGGCATTTGGAGCTATGGAAGTGGAGCATTATTCCAAAGGCGTCCTCCTGGAGCCTTTTGTTCACCAGGTTGGGGGTCACTCCTGTGTCCTCCGGTTTAATGACAAGACCATCTGTAAGCCCCTTATTCAGAGAGAACATCAGTTCTATGAGACTCTTCCTGCTGAAATGCATAAATTCACTCCTCAGTATGAAGGTATGTTGCCACCTTTAGAAGGGGGCTGGGTTTAATCCACTTAATAAAGTCCAATGTTCTTTTTGTCCTTAAAATCTCTTTTGCATAAGAGATTTTAGGGGGTTTCTTTTCATATATTTTGATGTTGTCTGAGCCAGGCTGTGGAAATGCAGGGTGGAGATGCTTGCCAATGGGTCTTTGGGCTGACTAACAGCATTAGAGTAGAACAACACTGCTGCTGATAGCCTATAAATCGCCCTTAGGCACAGGTAGGTAAGTATATTGATAACAGCTTGTAAGTGTTTTTAGTAATAATATTTTTTTTCTTTCTGATTTTTAAACCATATGTTTTTTTTAAAAAAAACTTGTATTAAATAAACTGTATAAGGCATGCTGCCTAGTGGAAGCTTAACAAGGATTTTCAGATGATCTCTAATGCTTACATTATGATCATGCTATATAAACAAGTTGTCATAGTAATGAAAACTAAAAATTACTGTTAAACATAATCAGCTTGTTTTTACCCTTAAGGAAATGGAAAAAAACACTGTGGCCAATAGGTAGGCAAAAGGTGAAGTACTGTTGATGAGGCTGTAAAAGATGATGGTATGTGGAAGTGGATATTCCAGTTCTTTTTACCATTGAATTAGTTGACCAAGACAGAAATTTAATTAACAGTAACTTGAATTTGAAATTCTGAAGTTTTGATACTGTATTCTATTTATTCATTTAATAAACCACCCTTTCCCCAATTGTTCTATATTATTTCGACCAAAGACTAAGATAAAATGCTTTTTAGCTGTATTTCTGTAATAATATTCATGCTTACTGAACATTTGAATGTTTCTGATTATGAACTTTCAGAATTAATAGATGAATGTGTGCTTTATGATGTTGATTAAATGTAATAAATTGTACTAGCAGGTGTGGTTTTTCTCTTGTGGAGATGTACGGGAGGGATTAAGGGGGGGGGAGAGCCTTATTTGGTCCATTGCTGTTGTTTTTTCCAGGATAAAGCCAAAGGCCATTTTCTAGCTGGCTTCCCCCCTTTCCTGTAGCTCTTTCTCGTATGGGCAGCAGGACTGTCAGTCAGAGCTTCTGCACTCCCTACCCTTGCTCCTGTAGGCCCCACAGCTGCCTGCCCTGCTCAGAAGTGCCAGCCTCTCGCCACGAACTCTAGTGATGAGCGGCAAGAATGTGCAGATTGATTGATTTCAGGATAAAGAGAGAGAACTGAGGAAAAAAAATACCCCATTCAGCCAGTTGTTACAACTTCTGCCGTAACTTTTCTATATGGCATGGGGCTGCATTCCTATCAGAACTGTCCTCTCAAAACATAACAGCAGTGCTCTAGAGACTTTGAGATGAGGAAGCAAAAATGCTTTCAAGGTTCACCATGTTTTGATGTATCTTGAGTTAAATTTGTTTTGTACTTCATTTTGTTATTTCATTTATGAGATGCTACGTAACTGAAACCAATAAAATATATTCCCCAGAGGAAAAATAAATCATTGTAAATTAAACGTGGTGATTCTGAGTGGAAGCCTTTTAATTAGTTGTCTGTTGTAATGTGTGATGTTGTTCTTGTTTTGCTCTACTCTTGCAAGCTTTTCCTTTTCTCTGGAATCTATTAAGAATATTCCCAAAAGCCTGTGTTTTGGATGAATGCTTTTAGATTTTCTATGGAGCAAAACCTAAAGCTTTTGGTGTTTCTCTGCAGGGCATATCCCCGTGCAAGATGTAAATATGCGATGTTTTACATCTCTCCTAGGGTCAGATAAGCCAGATTTTTAAAACATAATAAAAATTTTCAATAATTGAAAATGTCTCCTGTTATTATTTGATTCTTACTGTGCTCACAAGAAAGAGAAGAACCTCTTGTATCATTAATATGTTGTCTTCATGATAAATTGTCTTCTCTGTGAGGTGTCAACTTTGTCTAGATGTTTTGATATTTGTTAGGTTGACAGATGAGTTTTGGCCTGTGGCAAGATAAAAAACTAAGGATTTGGGGTAAGAGAAAAACCAAAGTTGCTATATTCTTAGTGCAAAATTATGTTGTGTTGTGATGTTTTTGTTTTTACTTCTCCCATTCTTAATTGAGTATCTCATGTTTCTCATGTTTCTTCTTAAGGTGTAGTATCTGTAAGCTTTGAAGAGGATGAAGATGGAAACTTGTGTCTAATAGCCTATCCATTAAATGGAGATCATGATAACTTGGAAAGTATAGATAATTCTGACTGTGAACCCAAAAATAAATTGCTGCGGTGGAGTAATAAAAAGACTCTTTTGCTAGAAAATGAAAAGTTAACTAAAGAATGGGTCAGGCAGCATAGAAAAGAAGAAAAAATGAAAAGGTAATTGACAGAATGTTCTGCTTCCTCATTTTTGAAAATATATACTTAAAACTTCTTGATTATAAATTCATCTGCAGCAGATTCACCTGCATTTAATTTGGAGCATAAACCTATGTTTTATATCGAGGAATTTTGTGCAGGATCAGAGCATACTAAGTACTTATTTGGAATGAGCTCATTGAAACTAGTAGAATTTTATGACGATTTATATCATAAAATATGCTTTACAATTTCTGAAGTAACAAGATGCTCTTTAACAATTTTTGCAGTATCATATGACTATATAAGGGGTTAAATTTGAGTTCTATCACATTAGAAAAGAGCATATTCTCATTTATAAGCTATAAAATATATTTTACAGTGTGGACTTTTGTGTCTTAACCATCCTTGATAAGATGCAAGTGCTCTTTGAAAAAAAGGTGAAATCTTGATTGAGAGAAAATTTGAGCAAATTGTTTAAATAATACCAATGAGTGTCATCACTCATTTATAAATATATTATGAAGAAAAAGTGAAAGTTGGCACCTTATTCAATTCACAGTTAGTTTATATTTGAAAGTATTTGATACTTGCATTTGACCACAAACATTGTTTGTTTTTATGTTTCAGTCACAAGTTAGAGGAAGAATTTGAATTGCTTAAGAAATCCGAAGTATTGTATTATAGTGTTGAGAAAAAGGGGAATGTCAGTTCACAGTTTAAGCACCATAATCCTTGGAGTATGAAGTGCCATCAGCAGCAACTCCAGCAAATGAAGGAAAATGCAAAACATCGAAATCAATATAGTATCCTTTGTGTGTTTTATACTATTTGTGCAAAGACTGCAAAAAAAACCCACTAGGAAATATTAAATTACTTAAAGCAAACAATACAGTTCAAACTCTGGAAGTCTGATGCACATTGTTCCAGTGTTAAAAGATTGTTTCTGCTATTGAGCGTTCCGGCTGTTGTAATATTTCTTAGGAGGATCCCTAGCAGATCCTTGCAAGTCAATTGCCTTTGCCGCTTCTTGTGATTAGCTTGTGTCCTCTCTTGTTTGAGGACAGGACTGATTATTATGTGGGTTTCTGCAATAAAAAAGGAGCTGTATCAGATCAGAAGGCATTCCAAGACAGTTGTCTGTATTTATACCAGTTCATTTTAAAATTAAGAATACGCTAGAGTTCAAATCTAGATTGTGAACTGACTCTTTCAGCACCATCAGAGGGATTGACCGCTTGTCATCCCAGAACTTCACCTCAGTTTTGCTTTGGATTTTGTCAGTACAAAGATCAATTTGCCTTTTTATGCATAGTTTTATGACACAAGCACATATTTCTTAAATGATGCTACTTGCTATCAAGTTTACTCCATTTTATATTTTGGGGAAACAGCTTCTCATTTCATTCTTAAACCCAACTTAGTGTAAATTGATCACATCTTGATTGGGGTGGTGGTGGTTGAAGTGTCTGTTCATAATATTTTAGTTGATAATCTGCGGGTTTTTTCCAAAGATTTGAGAACAGTTGTTGACCAGGATTCTGTGCTCTCATAATATTTGTCATTTCACTGGACTCTTTTAGTACAATTTAGAAATCAAGAGACCAGGCTTATGTGCAGCCAGTTCAGTTTAAAATGGTACTTCTGTAACGTAATGTAATAACCATGCTTAACTTCAGTTGAAGGCAGATATTTTAATTTATTTGTTTACTAATAAAATTTAGATAGCTGCCCATTTCACTGAGGGACTGGACTCTTGTGTGGTGCACAACAATAAATTATTTCAGTCAAACCCTGTGGGTTATTTCTAATGACAAATTACGCAGAGAGACGATCCCATCTCTCCCCTGGCAGAGATGGTCACCCAAACCTCCAAAACTGATTTCAAGGGAGCCGGGAGAGGAGGAGAAAGTCCCATCAAACATGTTAGATTTCACTCATTGATAATCCCTGTTATTGTTTACAGCAGAGGTTCTCAACCTTTTCTTCACCATGGACCCTCTTTAAATACCTTTTGTGGCCACGGACCCCCAAGACTCAAGATTTAAAATCATAACATTTCTTCAAATCTTTGCGGATTTCATGTGACGACATTGCTGCCCCCCCCAGGGGGTCCATGGACCACAGGTTGAGAACACTGGTTTACAGGATTTATTTTTATTTCAAGTGTAAACAAGTTACTACTTACATTATTTTTCCTTAACTAAATAGAATTTATTTTACTGGAAAACCTAACCTCACGATATGAGGTGCCGTGTGTGTTGGATCTCAAGATGGGGACCCGGCAGCACGGAGATGATGCATCTGAAGAAAAGAAGGCCAATCAGATCCGGAAATGCCAGCAGAGTACTTCAGCAGTTATAGGAGTTCGTGTGTGTGGCATGCAGGTGTGTTTTAAATGGAGGAATCACTCATATTTGGTATGATCAGCTTGCAATTAAAAGTGACCATGTATGAAACCAATATCTACTTATTTGTATTTGTACACCCCCTCCCCAGGGTCCCTCTGTGAGAGAGATGGGCAGTTTTGAAACGTGAAAAATAAATAAAAATAAATCAGTTTCAATTTTACACTACTATGAAAGCCCTTAGTTCAATACAGGAGAATATTTGTAGCTCAGGGTTGAAACGAGGGGTCCTTGGTGCTCTTGGAGCTTGGTTGTTCTCTTGCAGACATTTCATTACTCAAGATAAATAATCGGAGTAGCACTCAGCAGCAAGGACCCTTGCCCTTAGTTCACTATATGTTTTGTTTGAGGAACACTAATTTTGTCCATATTGTATGAAATTACAGTGCATGATTACAGTATGAGGCCTGAGGCCAAGATATGAGTTATGTTTTGGTCTACATGGGCTGGCTAGTCTGGATTCACTGTAATAAAATAGTAGAAATCGTTGCATTCTGGTCAATTCTTTCAAACTATAGATTTGTCCTGTGTATTATTTATTTTAGGTGTGATGTAAGCCACCATGTGATTATAATTTTAAATACTATTTTTCTCCTTCAAGGATAGGCCACTGAATATGCTAAACAGTAGTACTTAAGTGCCAGTAACTTTGCCAACACAGTTAACAAGCACAGGCATGATACTTGTATTTATGGGCTGAGTTATGGAGTGACATTATGCATGTTAGGACTTGATTTTCAAAACAGTGGGCAAACATATTTATAATCCTACTTAAAATATCTAGTTATATCTCTTATTTTTAAACAGTGTAAATCTGAAAAAATACTTCGCAGGGGAAGAAATGCATCGGAGAATTGGTAGCAGGTGGGATAATCTCCACTTTGCTTCAGCTGTCGTAGAGCAGCTTGCAAATCAGTTAAAATAATACTGTTTTATTTCAGTGCTACCGTTGTATTTAGTGCTAATAGATCCTTCTTTTTTCTTTCTACAGGTTTATCAGCCAGATTCTGGCCACTTAATGTTTATGAATAAATATCATGGGAGAAAACTTTCAGTCCAAGGATTTAAAGAAGCACTTTACCAGTTTTTTCATAATGGCAAATATTTGCGACGAGAACTCTTCGAACCTGTTCTAAAGAAACTAACTGAATTAAAATCAGTCTTAGAGAAGCAGGAATCCTACCGCTTTTACTCCAGCTCTTTGCTGATTATTTATGATGGGAAGGAATTACAAGATGTTGTGGTGGACTCGGACCCAGAAGACATTGAAGGTCTTTCAGAAGAATCATCAGATGAATCAGCACATGCATATGCCTACAAGCCTACAATTAGTTCCGTTGATGTTCGAATGATAGACTTTGCCCACACTACATGCCGGTATTACGGAGAAGATAGCGTGGTGCATGAGGGCCAAGATACGGGTTATGTTTTTGGACTTCAAAACTTAATACTTATTATTAAAGAAATAAGGGACGAAAGTAGTGAATAAAACATTTAGAATGCAAAACTGTAGAAAGCACTATAATGACTCTTTGTATTCCAGAAATACTGACCACTTTCTTGTGGTAGCAGCCTGTACAATCTGTGTTGGGATAGCCCCATCAGAGTCAGAGCTGTTCAAAAGAGGGCATTTCCATTTAGTGGTGCTAGATTTAGCACTGACACAACTGGGTATCTTTATTATTTATTTTAACTCTCGTAAACATTCCATATTTGATTATCCAGATACCTCCGTTATTCCTGTGTGTATATGTATCAATAAAATATTTTTGTTCATTGCAAATGATGATGTCCTCTTTCTAATCTGTCAGTCATTTATTAAAATATCCTGGATCTTACTATTACGTTACACACTCTAACTTTAAATTGAGGTCCTCATGAAATAAAAAAGTTATTTTTGAAACACGATGCTAATGTATTCTTAGTACATGGGCTTCTACATGGTCACAAAAAATACAGTAAAACAACTTGACACTTCTTTCCCACCTCCCCAGGAAGTGGGATGTGTAATCGGGTGATATGTGGGATGTTTCACATCCTTGTTAAAATCCGAGTATTGGAGCTTTGTATGATGCAGGTAGATGTTAGAACTTGGTGTCACTTTTATCAGTGTTTCTGCCTACATCCATAGTCTTGATACTTTCTGCCTATGTCCACAGACTTTCATCTTGCTAATAATTCTGTTTCATGCTTTTTCTTCTTGGTTAATATTTTTGAGTTTGGAACTTTTGAGTAGGTCTGTTGGAAACTTAACACCGCCTCTTTGCAATGGACTTCTGCATGTATAGGAAATTTACTCTCCTCATCATGCAATTCTCCAAAACTAGTCATCCTGTCTCATCTGAATTCAGTCTATGAAATTGCCCATAATGGCATCCATAAACTCAAGGTACTATTGCTTTATTATTTGGTGAAAAATTAAGAGTATCCGCATTGATTTTTAAAAGTGAAAATTTCACAACCATTCCATAGAATTCCTTTCACTGGGTACAACAGGGATCACATCGCCCCTTTTAAAAGTGCCTTGACAGATCAAAACTGAAATCATTGTAAAGCAGCATCCTCAGCTTGCCAGTCTTGGAAGATGGGCAATCGTGTAGAGGCTGTCCAATCACTTACTGACTAAAAATTATTTTTGAACCGTATAAGTATGGTTCATATGGTTTAAAAACCATATTTAAAAACCATATACACCATTTATATTGTTTGAAATATAAATTATAAATAGCTGAGTTCACTTTTTTTTCTTGATGTGGATTGTAACTCCCATTGCCTTCAATGCTCTGGAGGGTATCTCGTAGGGAATGGCTGTATGGTACTCAGCATTTTCTAGTTTTAACTACTGCTTGCCTATTGTGAGAAACAATATAGGTCAATAGTTATAAATCTGTGAACAGTGAAAATCTATCGGGTATAATTATGGCTCTTTTCCTGTTCAGTGCAATGGCATGTTAGAAAACAATTGTGTAAAGTGTCTTGGGACTCTGGAAGCAAATTTGATGTGCAGGGAGAAACTGGTAAAAGAAAGAGTGAATTTGAAAATGTGCCATATCAAAATCGGGATTGCAGAGAAAAACACCTCTGAAAAAATCCCTCCCATACAGCCAGATCTATACTATTATTTACATTTTTTCATGTTTCTTGTTTATTGATAATATAACTAATACTTGAATAGAAATAATTTGGTGGAAAGATGTGTTAACATTTAAGACATTTAATATAGTTTCAGTTATTGAGGGGTTCTTGTTGTTAGCTACCTTATGAAATCTTTTTATTAAAAAGGGGTCATAAGGGGAGAGAAACACATATTTTCAATAAGTGCCACATGAAAAAATACTGAATAGAATTTAGCCATACATTTGTGGGTGGGCCCATATATTCCACTGGCATTATCTGTAATGGCTTAATAATTAATTATGCAATATTAGCTTCTGCTGTGGATGGAAGGAGAATTCTTATCTGTTCTTTGCCAGTATCGATTAAAATCAAGTAAGATTAGGCAGAGTGGATGACAAATGCAAAACAGCCTGGTGACACCTCAGAACAAGATATTATTTTGCCTCATTTATTTCCCTCTTTATTTCCATAAAACTTTCCCACTTGGGCTTTCATTAGCCGTGACAATCATGCAAATTCAGGTTAGGCAAACCATTTAATAACATCCATTGCTGTCATTTGATTGTAACCCCAACACTTCGTTGCTCAAAATGTTACGACTCAGTATGGATGGAATTGCTTTCAATGCAAAGGGCTGGATTTTAGGTGAGATAAATCAGCCAATCTCATACAGGCAAAAAATACCTTAACAATGTTGAGACTCTAAATCGGGGGTCCCCAATCTCCGGGCCATGGCCTACTAATGGGGCATGAGCTGTTTGCAACTGGGCCGCAGAAGTGTACACGTGCTCCATTTGTGTGAGTGGCAGGTGAGCACGCCGCTCACACAAATGGACCTCCACATGCGTGCACACTTGCCCACTCGCCCAGAACAATCCCCTCTTTCCTCCCCCCCCCACTGATCTGCAAAGCTGGAAAGATTGGGGAACTCTGCTGTAAATAATAGGATCTAAATCAGTGGTTCTCAACCTTTTTAATGCCGCGACCCCCAACCGGTCGTAAGTCAAGGACTAAACCGGTCGTAAGTCGAGGACTAAACCGGTCATAAGTCGAGGACTACCCAACCGGTCGTACATCAAGGACTTAACCAGTCGTAAGTCGAGGACTAAACCGGTCATAAGTCGAGGACTACCCAACCGGTCGTACGTCAAGGACTTTCCCTGCCCGGGAGCGCCACGCATGCGTGGTTCCGCCCCTTGCGCCGGCTGAGGCGTAGCTGGCAAGCGGCAGAGACGGAGCAGGCCGACCACCAGCTGGCCCAGCTCAAGGGAGGTAAGGCACCCGCCAGAAAAGAGGAAAAAAATGGCGGACAGCCTTGCTTGGCGACCCCCGTGAAATGGTCGATCGACCCCAAATGGGGTCACGACCCATAGGTTGAGAACCGCTGATCTAAATGAAAATCACTTTGCTCCAAAGGATATTGTGTGACTAGTTTTCTGTTAATTGATATATTGAAGGTTTTCAAATGCTGTTCCATTCATTACGATCAAATTGGCTTTTTAAAAAAAATACCACTGGAGGAAACCCCCACCCCACCCCAAAATATGTCATTCTGAACATCTTGCATGTATTTGCCTCTGCTGTTTCTCATTCTGTCTTTGATTAGGTGCAAGAATCTGAGAATGTTACAGGAGATGCTAAGTGCAGTACACAAAATATCATTTTCTCATTCTTTGAGGTAGAAGTCACTACATTATGTTATCTTAACATAAGTTTCCATCTTTTAAAAAAACAGGCATAACAAGCCCATAACAAATGGGTATTGTAGCATCTTGCAACAGAGAATTTCATAAGCTAGTTCTTTATGATTACATGAATAATTCTAACATGTTCCTAGATATAATGATTGGGGCTATAGTAAATGTGCAAACTTAGGGTGTACAAGTGAAAACATTCATGAATAAGGTTTTCTTCCTTCATATTTTTTCTGGCGGGCTGGAGAGCCACAATGCAAGGAATTAATCCACTCCCAATTATAATGATGGGAAACACTTTCATCAATGGAAAACCTTTATTTAATTTCATCCCATGTTAATGGAATATTGATCTGCTAAAGTTTGTTAAGTCCCACAGATTTCATTAGCACCAAGTGCAATTATTTTAGCCTGGACCCAGTCGAATAAATTCTGCAATGGAGTATGGGAGAGTTTCCCAGAGTTATTTGGGAAATAGCCTTAATGTAGCAATAGCCACATTAAAATTACATGTCTTTACAGCCAGTCTATTTGTGTTATGCCTGTGAAATCTTATCTGTGCAAAATAGATGTTGTATTTTTCCACAAGGTGCATCCTCTTTTAGTTGTTTTTTTTATGTTTGCACAACTAACCCTTCCTCTTCATTTGGAACTGGTGGGTGATGTGAGTTTTGCTCGAGGCAAGGGACTCACTCAAGTCCACTCAGATGCCATTTTGAAATATCTTTCATCTGAAAGTCTAGGCCCTGATTTCTTGCTCATGAATAACTCAGTTCTTCATGTCAGAATTCACAGAATACAGTGTCCAAAGGCTGGAAGTCACCAACTCTTTTTTGATGCTTGTCATGAAAATTGGATGTTGCATGTCAGTTCAGTGGCTCCCAGATGGGAGTGGTGGAGACTGCTGTGCCTCTGGATGATGCACCTGCCCCAGCCCACAGCTCTTGCCTTCTTTTAATCAATGCATTTAGACAAAAAGTGCTGTCCAAAAGGAAGGATTTCAGAAAACAGCAGGTTTGATGGAATTCTATACCTTCACGATGTAATTCAGTATCTTTTTTGAAACTATATAAAGTACAGCAGTGTTTGTATTAAAACAGAAGGGATGAGTGGAGAGTCAAATTCATTTCCATCCAAGTAGGACTCGGAGATTGGCAAATGGCATCATGGAGGATTCTTGAAAATACAAGATTACTGTTCTTTTTTGTTTCTTGTCCTGAGGTTTTTCTTTTTGTTGTTGTTTTTTTCTCAGTTCCTATGTATTCAGAATGCCAATTATATAACAACTGCATCTTAGTTTTCAGAATTAAGCACCATGAGTCTGTGGGTGGGAGTACAGAATGTGATTGCTTAAATAAAGTCTAGCTTTTATCACACAAGAATCCAGGTGGCACAAATTGTCTCTAGGACTCACACAAGCTGTTAGAAAGGAGGGACGAAGACTGAATCATGGAATCAGCATCCTACCAGCACCAGGGATGGTTGTCCTGGGTTCTGACTGGGAGCAGAGCCTGTGGGACAATTGCTCTGTACTTTGGGAAACAATTCTGGAGCTGAAAAGGACCATGCCCTCCAGAGTTTCTGAAACTGGGAAGTGGGAAGGAGAAGAGAATGCTTTTGGATTTTGTTTGCTTTATGATTTCACGAAGCACTTCAGCATTAATGAATGTTTTGGCTAAAGATGGTAGGAATGGCTAAAAGAGCACAAGCGTTTATTACTATTTAGTTCCATTATTCAATATCTTAGCACAGTGATGGCAAACCTATGGCACGGGTGCCAGAGGCGGCACTCAGAGCCCTCTCTGTGGGCACGCGCGCCATTGCCCCAGTCCTAGGCCTTCAGCTGGGTTTTATAAAACCTTTTCGCTTTAGGCCTCCAGTGCCATGTGCAAAAAAAAAAAAAGGTTTAATCAATCAATTTCAACTTCTCGTGGGAAAAAAAAGATCTTGCAAAGTTGGAATTGATTGATTGAACTTTTTAGTCCCACCCAGTCTGCCGTTACCACCACAGCCACGCCCACCCAATGGGCCACACCCACCCAATGGGCCACACCCACC